TAATCCTAACGGCAAAAAGAAGAAAAACAAGAAAAATAAAAAACGTAATAATAAAACTGGTAAATGTTTATTAATAATATCAATAAATTGATGATTAGTGTATTGTGTGTTCATTGAATTGCGTCTGATTAATATATATCTTTTTATTCTCTTGAATCTAATGATCAAGCTAAAAAATTACATGAAGGTTGTCGTCAATCTACATTTACAGAAATATCTTCCAATCAACCACATCTTAACGATCATTCCAAATCTAAACAACAACAAGGAGGATATTTAAAAGGTACACAAGCTGTAGAATTTAACAATAAAATTGACGAAAAGCAAGCTCCTTGTCAACATTCGATTGATGTTGTAAAATCAAATTGCATTAATGAGGAATTGAACAGTGCGATTGTTGATGAATCAAATAATGAATTAAAAAATGCGCCAAATGATGTGAATGATGATATTAAATTGAAACTCATGGAAGAAGAAAGAATTAATAACTATGATCAAGTAATTGAAGGTAAAACCAATGGAAAAGTTATTCAAGAAATTGACGACAATGCGGTTGAAAATGCCGAAGATGCCAAATCGATCGGTACAGCCACCATCACTAATTTTAACGAGGGTGAGGATACTATTAAGAATGCTATTAAGCCGAATCTTTTAAACGTTGTGAATAAAGAACCAAAAGTCGGCGATAAACTAAAGATCAGCGTTGAATCTAAGGTTATTGATGAATCGAAGGTTATTGATGAATTGAATGTTGATGATGTTAAAAATAAAAATGCTGATCAAGACATTAATAACATTGAAGTTGGAGATTCTTTAACCAATGTAAATCAATTGATCGACACTACTAGTAACAATCTTGAAATTGTCAAGGATGCAAAAAAATCGATTACTACTACCACCATGAGTGTCGAAGAGGATGGTGTAATGATTAATAATGAACCGGCAATGATTGATGCCAAGGCTGATGAACAGCAGATTGATCGAGAAGAGATTGATCAACTAATTGATACCAAAGAAAATAATGATAATCAGGCGAAGGAAATTGATGGTAGCGAGTTTACTGGTACTAGCAATAGTGAACATGATGGCGAGGAAGAAGCCACTGTAAAAAGAAAAGTTGTTGAAGATGTAATTAAAAAGGAATTAGAAGTCTTTCAAAGGACTACAACCACAACTCAATTTGGTAGTTACAATAATTATTACCATTATTCTCAAAACAAATTTTTTGTTGGATATCATCAACCAAGAGCAACCGTTCATCACAAACGTGGATTGCCTGCGGGATGCCTTTTTGTGGCAAGGTAAAAAATATAACGATTTGTTTGTAATTGGCTGATTGACGTAAAATATTATTAAATTAATAAAAAAATCATGCAACATATATAGCTTGTCGTCTTCTAGAGCCGATGATGTTCTTCAAAAAGCAGTATGGCAACATTTTTCGAAATGGGGGTCGTTACTAAATGTAAAGGTGCTAAAAGATAGTAACAATCGTCCATATTCATTTGTACAATTTGAAAATGTTGATGATGCAAGACGGGCGCTTGTTGAAGCACACAACACGATCGTTGAAGGTAGACATATCCGGGTTGAACAAGCAAGAGTCAACAGAACTTTATTCATTGGACATGTTACCAGAGACTTGTCGGAACGTGAGGTGAACGAAATTATGGGTGCTTTTGGTGGTGAATTAGAGGATGTTTACATGTTCAGATCGTTCAACAATAATAATGTTCTTAGAAGCGGTGCATTTGTTAAATTCTGTTACCGTGATGATGCAATCAGAGCATTTATCAATTTAAGTAACGACATGAGACTTGTGGTGGAATGGTCTGAAAATATTGATAAAGTGGTTCCTGGGTCAAATGATATTGACAAAAAAACTATCTACGTTGGTCAACTTGTGCCCAGAGTCACGCAAGAAATGCTTTACAAAAAATTTGACGTTTACGGAGAAATCAAGGAATTGAATTTAATTTACAAACGTAAATATTTAAAAAAAAAATTTTTCGGTTTCAATCATATTTAAAAATAAAGATTAATAAAACTTTTTAAATTTTATAAAGTTCATTCGACATTTGCTTTCATTCGATATGATAATGAAGACTCAGCCAGATCAGCCATTGACAGAGAAGTATGTAATCAATATATTAAAATAATGTTTACTGATTGATTTAAATCAATTATTTATTTTTTTTACTCTCTTTAAAATAATAAATAAAAATAATAATAGAATAACACCAGGTATTTTGGACGTAATGTTCATGTTCAATATAAGGAATCAAACGAATATCGTGGCCGTTTATTACAAAAATTCAGACATTTAGGCGAAATAAGCCGAAAAGCTCATGAAAGGGTTGCAACTGAACATTCTTACATGGTACGATGATAATATAAGAATATATTTTTTACCATTAACAAATTCATTCTTTAAATAATAATTCATTATGTTTTTGATAGGTTGCCAATTGCCCAACATATTTCATGCAACCACCACAACATATAGGCATGGGTTTTGCCAATCCATATGGTGGTGGGTTAAATTTCTTTTAAATAATATATTTGTTTATCCATTCGAATATTTATTGTTATATCTATATACATAATAATAATAATACAAATAGAAGTTATGGCCTCGCAACAACCAATACATCCTTCTTCTTTACAAGCTACACGACAGATTCTTCCACCTCCCACTCCACAATATATACAAACACCAGAAGGTCATGTTTATCCTTACGCATCTTACGCATCGCCTCAATATTACTTTTGATTAAAAAAAAAAAACATGACTTGAATATATTTTTTTAATTATTCTTTTCATGAATAGTTAGTCGTCACAATAAATTATTTTATTATTATTGGAGAAGATTAAATATATTATTTTAATTTAAAATCTATTATTGCTATAAAAATAAAAATTAAATAAGGATAAACCACGTGTTAATTTATATGCTGAATTTTAAAGAATAATTATTACTAGTTTAAACTTATAAAGATTAATGTAAAACTAAATAGATATAAATTCAAATAATTCCGAAAAATGAGTAATACTAATATTAATATAAATTTCCACTAAACGATTTTTTTAATTTTAGTTAGGATTTTTAAGTTTGATTTCAGGTTCTTTTCTGTTTCAAAAAGCTTTGTTAATTACAAAAATAATTTGATAATAACTCATTACTGTTCATTATCTACAAATTCCACTATCATAAAATGGGGCATGCTGCAACAAAACCAGACAAAGTGAACATTGGTATTGCCAAAAATTTCAGGGATCAAAATTTAGTAATGCGATTGTTTTTTCTTAATATTAACAAATATACTGCAATTTGTAGTTATTGTAGTGAACACTTTTCAATTGAACTCTCTCAAAAAATGAAGAGTTGTTTGACTAATCATT